TTTTTTTGGTCGTTAAAATCTCTAGAAATGAGAGCTGAAAAACAACTCTGAGTCAGACGTAATCTTTTAATATTATTTTTCTTCAGATTTTTTTTTTTTTGCAACTTCATTTAGTACTTTATTGGAAATAAACAGATCTACACTGTACCTGACAAGCTTCATACATATTAATATATGATAACGTTACACCAAAGAAAAACATCTTCATGTTCACAATGAATTTAACAGTGAATATGAATTGTCCGTATTCTGATTAACTCAACATTTTCACTCACATAAATGTCATAAACATTTATGTTTATAGCAAGAATACTGAATTTATTATCACACTGACTATCGACTCTCAGCTTATTAGGCCTGCTACTTACATAAAAAACAGTCACTCGGTGTGCATGTTTATATCCAGATTAAGCACTTACTACTAATATCAACAAGCCCAAGAGGAGGGAGAGTATGTTAATACATAAAATTTGGCCAAGTCTTCCTTTACACAGCTGCCTTAAAAATAAGGTTTTTGACAACTGGAATATTGTCTTAATGCATAAATTACAGAGTCACAGTCCCTATGGGAGGCTCTTAGACTTCTGACCCTACTGTTGTTCTTACAGCGTTGCTCATTATGAGCACTCTTAATCCAGTGGGAGAGCTCCATGTTAACTTTGTTGGGAGAATACAGCGGCAAAGCAAAGCCAGAGCACAGGAGATGCAGCGTAGGTGGGAATGTAAACTCACTTCTATTGTGTTTTTTGCAAAAACAGCAATAGCGTTTCTGCAAAATACAAGAGCAAGCACAGTAACCCTCTGGTAGGGTCAGGTTTGAGGTGACAGCGAGAGTCATGCTAATTTGGTTCAGAACATTTGCACTTGCTTCCGTTATTCCTCTTTATACGACACTCAGTTTATACAGAAAATGCTTTAATACTCCTAAATATGTAGGAAAAAAAGGATTAAGCTCATACAAATGATCACACCAACTACTGGACTGAGTTCACCTTTAGGTAATTATTTTGTCTTTTCTTAGCCATAGAAGTCTTTAGAAGTTTAATCCATTATTGTGGCATTTTTATCCCCAAACACGTTGCTTCCTGTTTGAACACTTGACATGTATGTTTGAATATGACTATGTGTGAAGTTTACACTGACAAATGTTTACTGGGTAATTTGTCTGGGCTGTAGATTTGTATTCACATCCACGTTTGAACTAAATCTGAATACAGTGGTAAGCCTTTCTTAAAAGTTATTTTTCTTCATATACATTGTATTTATTCAGTTCACTGATTTGAGGATGGCTCCTCAAAATAAGTCATTACTGCTTTCTTGTTTTCATGGATAAACTGTATAAATGAGTTTTAGTATTTTCCAAGTTCTGCCCTTAAATTTCATCACTGCACATCATGTTTCTTACCATTCATCTTACATACATCCTGCTTTTCTCATTTTTAATTTTTTTTTAATTTGATTAGGCATCAAGAAGAAGTCCAAAGTGCCCGGTGTCATGATAACGCAGTATATGGAGGAACTTCCTGAGGGAATGTCAACTCCAGATTTCACTCGCAAACCCATTGCTCTGACTATTCAAGAGGGTACGTCTTCATGTCTCTGAGAGAAATGATGAATTCATTTTTACTCCCCCATCTCCAATACTTGAACAAGCACCGATGTTTTAGGTCAAACTGTTTCACCTAATTCAGAAATAGCAACAAGCAACATGAAGACTTCATAGAAAAACAACATTTCTTGGGAATGAAAAATTCCTCAATTCTCAGACTCTGACATATAAAAAATAAACTAAGTGAAAATTATTTTTCACATATATGAAATGTACGCTAATGTATACAGACATTAATTCTAAGGTTGGTGGTTTAGTCCTGTCTATGTGTTGAAGTGTCATTGAGGAAGACACTGAATCCCTAATTGCTCCTGACGCCTGTGGAAGTGGGGGATAAAATATATAATTTATCATTTTGAACTGAAGTTAACGAAAGTTGCCATCAGTCATGTCATTTTATACTGATGTTGTGACACTCCTTTACTGGTGCAGAGGCATGTGCAGCTACTATACATGTAAAAAAAAAAACATTATAACCCTGTCTCTCTCTTCTCTTATTACTGTCATCTTTCAACTATTTGCTATGAAAAATATTCCCAAAGATATATTTTAAGTAAAGTAAAACACATTCCCTTAAATAGCATCTCAAAATTGAAAAGAAAACAATTGCACCAAAAACCATCTCAGGTCATTCCAAAGGTTCAATAAAAACATTTTGATTTGATCATTTTCATGTGGCTAAAGTATGAAAACATGTTGTGTAACAGCCATTTTTACAAAAAATACAACAATCAATAATTTGTCACTAATAAGAAAATCCTAATTTTCTCCTATTCCAGGTAAATTTGCAGTCTTTAAGGCCATAGTAGTGGGTACTCCCACGCCTGTTGTGACATGGAGCAGAGCAAATGGAGAAATAGTTTATCACCCTGGCATGTGCCAGCAAAAGTATGATGAGGCATCTCATGAACATACCATTGAGGTAAGCTTTACATGTGGCACTTACAGTATAAGGTGTAAATGAAGACGATTTGCAATACATGCTGCTTTTAGTGATGATAAAAATGCCATTAACTCTGTTTGCATTTCAACAGTTTCCTAAGGTTACCCCAGAGGATGCTGACACCTACAAGTGTTTTGCAACAAATGAGCATGGAAAAGCTGTTTGCACCGTTGTCTTAAATGTTATTGCGGGTAGGATCCATATTCTTCTCAAAAATCAGATCATAGTTAGACAATGTTTGCATCATTTATACCCCTAAGAATATGCCATACTTGAATTGTGACAAACAGGTGGCCAAAATTAAGGTTATTGTTTGTTTACAGTTGGATTCTCTAAGACCAAAGAATTTCAAAAGGTACAAGTAGAAGGTAAGGATTCAAATACATTTTGAGTTTACACTCTTATCAAGTGTTAATCTTACATATACATACTGTATATATTTTTTTAGCACGGCAGGTCGTGTTAGTTGGCTGTTGAGTCAAGGCTCACAATTTTAAGGCCAAATACATGACAGAGGAGAGCTAATATGCACCGTCCATGCCCCTGACACTTTAAGGAACTGATGAATAAAATTAATAAAATGAAAGATGAATAGAGGTTGATGGTTTTGAACTAAGCTATCAATACTTAGAATGATGCTACAACCCAACCTATAAATTCTCATAACAACATGACATTTTATTCATTAATTGGATTTATTGGGAAAAATCTTTCTGTCACACCAGAGCAGTGCCACCGCTGACATTTGACACATAAATGACTCTCTTAGAGATTGACTGAATTTCTGAACTTCAGATTTGAAAATGCCACTTATTCCAGCTTTCTCAGGTCTGAACAAAGATAAGGAGACAGCTCAATGTAATGTTTGATCTGTCAGTTCATGTGCCTGGGCACTGTTGCTCAGTGAGCTAAACTCAAGGTAAGTCTAGGTTAAGTGAAGCTTCACGATACTAAAGCTACTCTCGGAGAAATGTAGCAACCTAAGCTAAACCAACATAGCAAAAGTAGCTTCATCAGAAGCTACTCCCTTGTTGTAGACATCAGCCCAAGGATGGTTACATGAGGTCATCATCATATGGAAGTGCTTCTATAGCTACGCATATACGTCCATGTATTGCGATAGTTTCACATATTGATCCTTAGTTTTATTTCAGACCACGGCAGAAAGATCTGCTGTGCTTGAGCTTCAGAAATGTTCTGAGAAATGAAGCTTGTGGACACTACTACTTTGCTACATTATCAATAAAAGGGCTTTGCTACTGAAAAGTTATTTGATTCAGAAAAACAGCAACATAACCACCACACTGAGAAATGGAGTTACACGAGTAATGCTGCTACTTGTAGCAACGTTACAGCCCAACACTGCTGTCAACACTTCACACCAGAATTTTATTTGGACCTAAAGAGAGGCTTTGTGTTGTCAATTAGACAGAGTTGGAACCTCTTCTCTATTACCCCTCTATTAAAGAACAAGTCTGTTGATATTCTCTATTTTTCTCATTGTCTACAAATCCCACGAAAACCAACAACAAACTGATCATAACAAATATTGTCTATGTATCCAAAGCTTGATTGTTTTCAATAACTATTAAAAACACATCAGTGAGCCACACGCTCCCTCATTACATGAACATAAGCACTGTAGTTTATTATGAAACCATCCCACACACACACCATGCTGCTGTTATAATTACTCACCAAATCATGAAACGTGTATTAATCTGCCAATGAAGTAAATACACTGTTTATACTTGTTTGAGTAACAACACACTGTGGGCAACTATATATATATATATATATATATATATATATACATATACATTTTTTTTTTTCTGTAGTCTAGGCCAAATGAACCAAACGGGCGTGAAAGACACTTTAAATGACAATTTAGCTCTAAAAAGAATAGCTAAATTGTCCTTTCACAATAACAATTTGACAACTACATAAGTACAGAATATGACCGTTAAGCTCAACAGCAAAGTGTATTTTATCAAAAAGAAATTGGAAATTGGACAAAGAATGAAACGAGAGAAAGCCCCATACATTATAAATTAAGGATTAAATTGTCGTTGATCATTCATGGTGTCATTCAGTGATGGACTGTTTTTTTTTTGTTTATGGTTCCTCAGATCTCACAGACACCCGAAAAAGACTGAAAAAACGGTGAGTCAAATAATGTAAACTCAGCTGCTTGCCTGTTAAAATAAACGGTTATGGCACTTTTTCTTTTGAAAGTCATTCCTCCTCATACTGTCGTTTTTCTTTCATGACAGTATGAGAGCAATTGTTCCCCATAGACTTTACTGAAATTAGTGAAATCTCTCACTCTGCAGAAACCCTGACGGAACACGTGAAGAAAAGGTAATGGATACAGAGGACAAGATCTGGGAAATTCTGCTTAGTGCGGACAAGAAAGACTATGAGCGGATCTGCGCCGAGTACGGTATCAAAGACTTCCGAGGCATGCTGAAGAAACTCAGCGAAATGAAGAAAGAGAGAGAGGAGGAGATTGCAGAGGTTGGTGGCCTACCACTTGCTTTTCTAACATGAGCATCTGCAGGAAAACAGTCTTGACCATTAATTATCTTATCTATTTATGCCACTTATTCTTCTTTTTTTTTATACACGTTTTTTTCTACTGTAGTTTGTGTCACACATCACCAAACTGAAACCTATTGAGGTCAGCTGCGACGACTGTGCAACAATTGAGTTGGACATGGACCTCAAGGATCCTATGAGCAAAATTTTCCTGTACAAGGTGAGGGATTAACTACTCTTGTTTTTGCTGTTTGGTTTATTTCTTAATTACCTGTTATCAGGATGGAAACATGTCCCTAAATTTCTGCAGGATGGCGTCATGGTTCCTTTCAGTAAAGAAGAGGGCGAGACGTTGAAGCATAGTTTGAAACAAATTGGCAAGAAATACGTATTCACGATTAAAAAACTAGGTGCAGAGGATGCTGGACTCTACTCAGTGGATGTTGAGGGCGTCAATGTATTTTCCACAGACTTTAAAGGTAAGTCTTCAGTCAAGAGATTTAATTCAGTTACTTTCCAGTTATTACTGATATACCGTAACTCACTCGAAACATTTTTTTTCTTTTGATATTAGATTTATTTCTAACTAGAATTAAATGTGACCCTGGACAGAACAGGCAGTTTAAAAATGGATTGGACAGATGAAAGAAATTAAACAGTCTCTACCTGCTTCTTTTTATGCCTTTCTGAAATCCTGCAGTACCCGAAGTTGACTTTGCTGTCAAGATACATGAGGTCAAGGCAACAGAACGAGAGGACGCGCTCTTTCAATGTGTACTGACTGCACCCATGAATGAGGTCAAATGGTTTGGCAAAAACGCAGCACTGTCAAATGATGAAAAACATGAAATCATTGTATCTGAAGATAGGCTCATTCACAAGCTGATTGTGCGGGACTGTATGCCTTTGGATGCTGGTATCTATGCTGCTGTGGCAGGAATCAAATCATGCAATGCCTGGCTTGTGGTTGAAGGTGAGAAAATGATTCTCTTCCTACTTTTTTATCTTTAGGGATTCTCATTATACAGTACGAATGCCAGTAGCATGCATAAATATGGAATATCTTGCAGATACTTTCCCTGATACCAAATAATTGTTTAATTCTGAATTCAACATTCAGCAAAAAATTAAAATGCATTTGACATTATCTTTTATAGCTGACAAAGATCCTGCCAACAAGGGCAAGAAGGCAGCTCGCAAAACTACTATGGCTGGAGGCGGTAATGACGACGATCTGATGAAAATAGCTAAGGAACAGCAGGAAAGATATCAGAAAGAAATGGAAGAAAAAATAGAAAAAGCCAAGAAGGCTCAAGAGGAGAGAGAAGCTGCAGAAGCAGCGGCCCAAGCGCAGACAGAAGCAGCTAGAAAGGAAGCGGCTGAGGCCAAAGCTGCAGCTAAAGCTGCGGCTAAAGCTGCTGCAAGGGCAAAGAGAGCAGCAGCTGGAAAGGATGGAGCTGCGAGGAAAAGTAAGAAGGATGCTGGTGCTGCCGGTGGTGCAGGCTCTGCTGCAGATGGTGCTGGAGGTGCTGGAGGTGCTGGTGGCACTGGTGGAGGTGCTGGTGGCGCTGGTGGAGGTGCTGGTGGCACTGGTGGAGGTGCTGGTGGCGCTGGTGGAGGTGCTGGTGGCGCTGGTGGCCCTGGAGGTGCTGGTGGCGCTGGTGGAGGCGTTGGAGGAGCTGGAACTGGTGCAGGTGCTGGTAAAGGCATCGGAGCTGGTGTTGGTGGTGGTGCAGGTGGACAAGGTGGAAGTGGAGTAGGAGGTGTAGGTGGGGCTGGAGGAGGAGCAGGAGGAGGAGCTGGAGGTGGAGCTGGAGGAGGAGCAGGAGGAGGAGCTGGAGGTGGAGCTGGAGGAGGAGCAGGAGGAGGAGCTGGAGGTGGAGCTGGAGGTGGAGCTGGAGGAGGAGTTGGAGGTGGAGCTGGAGGAGGAGCAGGAGGAGGAGTTGGAGGTGGAGCTGGAGGAGGAGCAGGAGTTGGAGGTGGGGCTGATGGTGGAGCAGGAGTCGGAGTTGGAGGTGGAGCTGGAGGTGGAGCAGGAGTTGGAGGTGGAGCAGGAGGAGGTTCGGGAGAAGATTTTGAGAGTGACGATGACTACGACTCTTTTGAAGATTCTGATGAAGAATTTGCAGGAGAGGGAGGAGAAGGAGGAGAAGGAGGAGAAGGAGGAGAAGGAGGAGAGGGAGGAGCAGGAGGTGGACGAGGGAAGCGCAGGAAGCGCATGAGAGATGGTCCACTCGTCGCAGATACAGTGATAGGTAAGAAATTCATTCACACTGTAATGTATCAATTTTGCCTTTTATTCTCCTCAATGCTTACGAGGATGCAACCCAATATAAACATGAATAAAATTTATAGAGAAATTTGTCTTGAAATATTATCATTAAGCTTATAAGGAGCTGCAGAAGGTCGGCTGTATGTATTTTGTTGTTGTTGATGTCTTTCTGTGTTTTGATATTAATCTCCTCTTTACTTCTTTTGGTACATTTTGCAGTTCTCTTGATGTTTATTACTGTATCTGTTATTTACTGTTGTTTGTCTCTTCTGTGAACTTTCAGATTCTTTATAAGTCTCTTTATCTTTAATATCTTTAATAATATCCTTAAATCATCAGAAGAATAATATTTCATAAATATTTTGAAATTAAATTTTCAAAAAAGGAACTGATGATGAAAGAATGCCAGTACATAGTTTACATTTACATTAGAGTCAAGTCATATTTAGGTCAGCATTAATATCATGACAGTAAATGATTAGATTTGTAATAACATCATGTGTAACATTCAAAAAGCTGCTATTTATTATTACTAATAGGAGATAATAATGATGAGGAAACCACAAATCAACAAGGTGAAAAATCTGGGAAAAAAGGAAAACGTTCCAAAAAGAAACTTGTGGAGGTTGAAGAACCTGTTGTTGGTAAGAGATGTCAGAGGCTGCATGTTGTAGAAGACTTATTGACTATTAAAGTCATTTAGGAATGAAAATGACTTTGACATCACAACTGCAGGAAATTGTAAACATTTCCTGACTCATGGTGGCAAGAATTTTGGAATTACCTCCATTTATGCATGAATTTGCTCTAAAATGTAGTCAGATCTTCATACAAGTTACAATTATGAACAAACACAATCTAGTTCAACTAATTAAACACAAATCATTGTGTTGTTCCTGTCCATATTGAAAACATAGGTTGGAAAAAGTGAGCGAAACCTTGGGCTCATGGCATCAACAAATGCTAACTGGAGTCAGGAGTCATCAAACCTGGAGTTGAACCAGTGAAAACAGATTAGCAGTGTGAGTTTACTCAAACAGTTTGAGCTTGCTATTTAGAAGAAACATCTGCTGATGTGAACTATGCCTCACAAAAAGGAAATCTCAGAAGACTTACGATCAAGAATTGTTAATTTACATGAAGCTGAAAGGGTCACAGAGTCATCTCACTGAGTTTAGATCTTTATCAGTCCACAGTCAGACAAACTGTCTATAAATAGAGATGATTTAGCTCTGTGGCTACTCTCCCTAGAGATGGGTGTCCAGGTACGATGACGCCAAAGGCACAAAGCCGAACAAAGAACCGAAGACCCGAAGAGATCCGCTCACACCAGACATCCCGAGAACATGGCTGAGCTGGAGCTGCTCTATAAGGAAGAATGGTCCAAAATTCCTCACGGTCTGATCAGCAATTACAGGGAGAGCTTGGTTGCAGTTATTGGTGCTGAAGGAAGTTCGACCAGTTTTGAAATCTAGGGGTTCCCTTACCATTACCACCATCACTGAATGTTTAATGTTGTGTTCAACAGAGACACAAAAGATTATAATTGTTCGTGTGATATTAGCTTGGGGACACTGCGTTTGTCTCCCTCTTTAACTTATATGAAGATCAGATCACATTTCATGACCAATCAATGCAAAAAAACAGGTCGTTCCAAAAGGTTTAACGTACTTTTCTTGTCACTGTAGATGCAGCTGCATTAACAATAAATGTATATAACACTGACTTTATTAAACCACTGCTCCACTTTGCCAACCACTCAATTAACTAAAAGCTCCATGTGCCCCTAGCAAATTTCAAGAAACAATTACAAAAAGATCTCGTCAAGCCTCAATTCGCGAACTGGCTTTGTCCAGGATGTATACGATTGTAGAATTGGTTTAGAGTTATTTTTATGAATTCTTGAAAACCCTTGCAGTTCTAGACACTAAGTTTAAAAGTACAGTGCAGTTCAGGTCTCATTCATCCCAGGGTGTTAATTGCTCACGTGGTTTTCAGTCCAAAAACAACTGAAACCCCTGGGCTTAAAGTATTAACTCGTTCATTATCTCTTAAATTCACTTAGCCAACATTGATTAATAAAACACAATTATACATGTCTACATCTTTACGTTTGTTTGTGTGCCTCTTGTGAGAAACAGAAAGTAGTATAGCATGTATGCTATGCTAAATTCTATATTCTCCACTATTAATCCTTCACGTAGATATCTGTCTGCATTTTTGTCTTGTGTGTAATACGTCTGCTGTTTGCAGACACGTTTGTCTTCATGTTGTTAAATACCTTGTTTAATTCATGTGTAAGTCTGTTGTGTAGGGGGTGCACAAATGGAAAAAGTGATTTACCAACAGATGAATTCCATGTGATCTATGATATCAATTATACATATGACAACTGACATGTAATAACAACATAGTTTAAACTGCCAAAACAGTCACTTCACAATGGCACCATTATAGAACTGATTTTGAATAGTGAGTTGGATATCACTTTTTCCACCACCCACTTCTTCTCCATTGAAGTTAATGTTTTGTTTTTTCTGTTGCTACTGACATTGTTTCAATGCTCTGTGTTGATGCTTAAATTGTTATTGTTACTGTTTTCAGATGGTAATTACGATGATATTGTAATTACCATCAATCGTGTTTTAATATTAATGTCCTCTTTATTTCTTTTGGTACATTTTACAGTTCTCTTGATGTTTATTACTGTATCTTACTGTTGTTTGTCTCTTCTGTGAACTTTCAGGTTCAAGTCTCTTAATCTTTAATTAATATCTTTAATAATATCCTTAAATCATCAGAAGAATAATATTTCATAAATATTTTGAAATGAAATTTTTAAAAAAGAAACTGATGATGAAAGAATGCCAGTACATAGTTTACATTTACATTAGAGTCAAGTCATATTTAGGTCAGCATTAATATCATGACAGTAAGTGATTAGATTTGTAATAACATCATATGTAACATTCTGTAAAAAGCTGCTATTTATTATTACTAATAGGAGATAATAATGATGAGGAAACCACAAATCAACAAGATGAAAAATCTGGGAAAAAAGGAAAACGTTCCAAAAAGAAACTTGTGGAGGTTGAAGAACCTGTTGTTGGTAAGAGATGTCAGAGGCTGCATGTTGTAGAAGACTTATTGACTATTAAAGTCATTTGGGAATGAAAATGACTTTGACGTTACAACTGTAGGAAACATTTCCTAACTTAGATGCAGCTGCATTAACAATAAATGTACATAACACTGACTTATTTAAACCACTGACACTTTACAAAGCTCTACACTGCTCCACTTCGCCAATCACTCAATTAGCTGGGAGATCTCATGGTCTGATCAGCAATTACAGGGAGAGCTTGGCTGCAGTTATTGGTGCTGAAGGAAGTTCGACAGTTTTGAAATCTAGGGGCTCCCTTAACCATTACCACTATCACTGATGTTTAATGTTGTGTTCAACAGAGACACAAAAGATTTAATTGTTTGTGTGATTTTAGCTTGGGACACTGCGTTTGTCTCCCTCTTTAACTTATATGGAAGATCAGATCACATTTCATGACAATCAATGCAAAACAGGTCGTTCCAAAAGGTTTAACGTACTTTTTCTTGTCACTGTAGATGCAGCTTGCATTAACAATAAATGTACATAACACTGACTTTATTAAACCACTGTCCACTTTGCCAACCACTCAATTAACTAAAAGCTCCATGTGCCCCTAGCAAATTCAAGAAACAATTACAAAAAAAGATCTCGTCAAGCCTCAATTCGCGAACTGGCTTTGTCCAGGATGTATACGATTGTAGAATTGGTTTAGAGTTATTTTTATGAATTCTTAAAAACCCTTGCAGTTCTAGACACTAAGTTTAAAAGTACAGTGCAGTTCAGGTCTCATTCATCCCAGGGTGTTAATTGCTCACGTGGTTTTCAGTCCAAAAACAACTGAAACCCCTGGGCTTAAAGTATTACCTCGTTCATTATCTCTAAATTCACTTAGCAACATTGATTAATAAAAACACAATTATACAATGTCTACATCTTTACGTTTTGTTTGTGTGCCTCTTGTGAGAAACAGAAAGTAGTATAGCATGTATGCTATGCTAAATTCTATATTCTCCTCTATTAATCCTTCACGTAGATATCTGTCTGCATTTTTGTCTTGGTGTGTAATGCGTCTGCTGTTTGCAGACACGTTTCTCTTCATGTTGTTAAATACCTTGTTTAATTCATGTGTAAGTCTGTTGTGTAGGGGGTGCACAAAATGGAAAAAGTGATTTACCAACAGATGAATTCCATGTGATCCATGATATCAGTTATACATATGACAACTGACATGTAATAACAACATAGTTTAAACTGCCAAAACAGTCACTTCACAATGGCACCATTATAGAACTGATTTTGAATAGTGAGTTGGATATCACTTTTTCCACCACCCACTTCTTTCCATTGAAGTTAATGTTTTGTTTTTTCTGTTGTAACTGACATTGTTTCAATGCTCTGTGTTGATGCTTAAATTGTTATTGTTACTGTTTTTCAGATGGTAATTACGATGATATTGTAATTACCATCAATCGTGTTTTAATATTAATGTCCTCTTTATTTCTTTTGGTACATTTTACAGTTTCTCTTGATGTTTATTACTGTATCTTACTGTTGTTTGTCTCTTCTGTGAACTTCAGGTTCAAGTCTCTTAATCTTTAATTAATATCTTTAATAATATCCTTAAATCATCAGAAGAATAATATTTCATAAATATTTTGAAATTAAATTTTTAAAAAAAAGAAACTGATGATGAAAGAATGCCAGTACATAGTTTACATTTACATTAGAGTCAAGTCATATTTAGGTCAGCATTAATATCATGAGAGTAAGTGATTAGATTTGTAATAACATCATATGTAACATTCTGTAAAAAGCTGCTATTTATTATTACTAATAGGAGATAAAATATGATGAGGAAACCACAAATCAACAAGATGAAAAATCTGGGAAAAAAGGAAAACGTTCCAAAAAGAAATTTGTGGA